ACAGAATTCCAAGCCAAATCCCCACTTCTTGAGAGCGTAAAACAAGCATTGCCAAGATAAAGAATTAAAAGCTTTTTTTATATCTAAAGAGAGAAACATGGCAGGGATCTTGCGTGTTGTAGCTAGGTGGGACGAGAGAGTTGCCCTGAAAATACTATTAGTAGCATGTCTGAAGGGCTTAAAACCAACCTGATCTTTATGCACCAGCTGGCCAACACCTGAGTTGAGCCTAGTCACTAGAATTTTGGCAAGTAATTTAATATCTATGTTAAGCACGGAGATGGAGCGATAGTTAGAACACGAGGTAGAGTCCAGTTTGAGAAGCATGCAGATGGAGGTGGTTAGCGCTTCCCTGCCACAGAACTTGCCTAATCTAATGGTGTTAAAGGCTAAAACTAAAGTTGGGCAAGGAGATCAGAAAATGTTTTGTAAGAGAGCGCAGAAAAGCCATCCAGGCCCGCTTGTTTATGGGGATTCAGGGATTTTACAGCTGCAAGTACTTCTGTGTCTGTGATAGGGCTATCAAGTGTTTCCTTAAGAGAGTCCAGAACAGGGGGAAGAGAAATAGAAGAGAAAAGCCCATCAGTGTCTGTTTTTAAGAAAGGTCACCCAGGGTAATAAAGTTGGGTTAAATGATGTCGGAATAAATGATGGAATTCTTGAACAATTTTAGAAGGGTTGCAAGTTACAGACCCCTTGGTAGTGGTTAAATAATAGGGCTTTAAGGTTGGGCCAATATTGCGAAGACGGATAGCAAGCAAAGTATCTTGTTTGTGAGCTTTTAAGTAAAAGTGATGGCGAGTACAACATAATTGCCAATCGGCAGTGTAAGTCAATAATAGATTAAGGTCTCTCAGAGCGTTGTCAAGATGGAGACGGTTAGATGGGAAAGGAATGAGATGAAAACGCATGGAAGCTTCCACAAATTTGTCTTCCGAGGCAAGTTTAATGGATTCACCCCTTGTGTGCTTCCCAGAGGGTGATGGGGATGTCATTATTAGATAAGTAGTCCATAATAGCAGATCTAATAAGAGATAACTGGGTCTTGTAGGATGGAAGATAATTATTCAATGTCCAAGAAGGGTCAGTAGATGACGTCAGTAGCAAAGATAAGGAAAGTGTCACCGCAGTATGGTCTGACCACAAAATGGGCTGGATAGTAGAGGTAAGTAAAGAGGGCAACATAGTATGTGCGAGAAAGATGTGATCGATCCGAGAAAAATAATTATGTGGGGCACAGTAAAAGTTTAAATCTCGGGTAGAAGGGTGGAGTTCGCACCAGACAGCGATCAACAAGTGTTGTGTCAGTACAAGGAGGAAGAAGGGGAAGTAGAATGGGCATCGGAAGATTTATCCAAGATAGGAGAGATTGGGAGGTTAGAGTCCCCACAAAAAAAGAGGGTTCCTATCTGGTGATGTCCAATGGTGGAAACAATATGATGGAAAAAGGGAATAGGGTTAGAGTTAGGGGCATAATACGAGACTACAGTCACTTCTTGGTCGAACAATTGTCCTAAAGAATCAGATGCCGACCAGCTGGGTGATGTCTTTGCTACAAACAAAATTTGTGGACTTACGTACACCCCACTATTTAGAGTAGGCACAAGCTAGGTAGACCTGAGGGTAATGTTATCTAAAGTATTTAGGGGCCGAGGAATGTGAAAGATGCATTTCTTGAAGAAATCCTATGTCTATATGAGAGGGGCAAAAATGTTTAAAGGCTTGTGAGGAGAATTTAGCCCCTTTACATTCAAAGTAAGGATATTGAGATTAGGCATAATTCTCTAGGAGTAAAAGCCAATGGGATGATGCGGTTAGCCATGGATGGTGAATAGGACAAGCACCTCACTCCTTGAGGACAAGAGAAGAAAAAAATGAGGAAAAAGATAAGGCAAAAAGAATAGATGGAGAAGGCAAAGCAGGAAAAGAAAGAAGAGCCAGAAAGCTAAAAGGGAAAGCAAAACTAAGAAGTAAAGCTAAAACAAAATACCTAAGGAGATAGAGAGGCAAAACATTTGTCTCTATCTCAAGGACAAATGTGTGGTAAAACAATGTAGGTCTAGGGGGAACAAAAGTGACTATCACCTCAGCACATCATATAGAAAAAAGTAAAATAAAACATAAATATCCCAAAGTGTACAGAGCTAAACAATAAAATATAAGAGATTCCGTGCAGTAGTGGGAGACCTTAAGCAGGAGGTAAGGGCTACAGCAAGCAAAGTGTGAAAGTGGGCACAGTAAGAGTGATAAATTTGAACTCTAAGCCTAGAGAGTTTGTATCAGAACACTCTGAAAAAATATGTCATGGAGTACATTAAGGAGGGAATAGTCAACAAACAATGAAATTGCAGGGTAAATTTAGAAACAATAAACAAACAAAATCTGGAGGACTAAGAAAGGATATAGTGTACCAGTCCACAGGCCAGGTGAAATGTAGAGACAACAAACCATCAGGAGGAAGACATTGTAAATATTCAGCCCCAGGAATATAGAAAGTCAAACTGTGTCCAGGTGTGAAGAAGTACTAAATATAGCAGAGCAAGGAAGGGTTCCAAGCTGCAGCCGGGAAGGAGACTCAGTCCAAATGATGAAGACACAGGGCAGTCTCCAGGCGTGGTGTCTTCCGGCACAGCCGCTGGGTGACACCCCGCTGGGACATTATCACGCAGGTGTGTATTGAAGTCACGTGGGTGATGGATGCCAGCAAAGAGAGGAGCCCGAGAGACGAGAGTGCCCAACTTTTCAGAGGGGGTGACACCAAAATTACTGTCAGTTATTTTGTTGTCACCCCCTCCGATAGCATTACCCGGATCGGGCTGCACCTCCCTTGTGATGCCACTGTGCAGACATCAAATATTCACTGCATGGACCATGCAGAGATATGTGAAATACAGTTGAACAGAGATCAAGAAGGATAAACTAGCAAAGTCCAAGTCTACAGGGGTGGAAGGGAGATATGTTTTCTAGTCGCCTTGGAGGGCGAGTCAGCAGGGACAAAAGAAGGTTCTGACGACAACATTTGGATTGAGAGGATAGGGGGAAGTCCTCTGCAGAACGAAGTTGAAGCTCGTACAGTAGTTGACGTAGTTCGGTAGCAGAAGATCTTTGGTATTGTCGACCATTGTAGGTAAAAAGCAGACGAACTAGAAAGCCCCAACCATAAGAGATTTGATTGTATTGCAGGATATATAGAAGGGGCCTACGTTCTATCCTCTTGGCAATTGTTGATGGAGCAAAATAAGCAAGAATTTAGTAAGATAATTGATTGCAGGCAGCTTGGAGGATTGACTCCTTAGTGCAAAAATTAAGAAATTTGGCCACAAAAACTCTAGGTGGACTGCCTGCTTTCCGTCTTACCAAAGCATACATACAGGTGAAACCCGAATAATTAGAATATCGTGCAAAAGTAATTGCAGTAAGTGCTGCAAAAGGGGCCCAAACCAAGTACTGAGTACATATGCATGCTTGTACTTTTCAGAGGTCCGATATTGTTCTATGTACAATCCTTGTTTTATTGATTGCATGTAATAATCTACTTTTTTGAGGTTGTGGATTTGGGGTTCTTGGGGTTTTCATGAGCTGTAAGCCATAATCTTCACAATTATGACAAATCACGGCTTGAATTATCTTGCTTTGCATGTAATGAGTCTATCTCATATATTAGTTTCACCTTTTAAGTTGCATTAGTGAAATAAATGAACTTTGCACGATATTCTAATTATTCGAGTTTCACCTGTATACGTTCCATCTCTAGCCTTTCCACAGGTATTGAACAAACAAGTTCCTGGAGCATCGAATGGATATCCAAAATATGTCCAGGAATACCCCTGAAACAAATATTAGATCATTGCGACCGATTTTACAGGTCCTCCAAATAAGCTGCAAGTTGGTGATTAGCCTATCAATCAATCAATCAATCTTGCAGGGTAACAGATGAGGTGACTTCTTCCATACGTATCTCCAGGCCTGCAGTGCTGTGGCCTAATTCAACTATTTCCTGCATTACCTGATCAGTGATTTATTTAGATGTTGCTTCTAAGGCCTTGTGAAGCATGTAGTCAATTCTTTGCCTAAGTCCTGCTGATAAGAATCGCGGGGGTGGGGGGGGGGGCTGTTAGGAGAAATTTGCCCTGCTATCACCGCCATCCTCACTGCAGAGTATGGGTGGCATAGTTCTGATATCCGGCTGGTCGGAGGAGGCCAATGCCATTTTAGATACAGCTTGAGCCAAGGCCTCTTTGATGGTCTTGCTGGTCTTGCTGCGTGGAGGCTTGTGTTGGGAGCTGAAGTAAGGCATGATCTCCAGGGCGAATGTGCTGGGGAAATGTGGAGCGGAGTTAATAGATGTCCAGCATGGTCCCCTGTATGCATGTGCCCCCAAATTTGCATGTTTAATATTTTAGATTATGAGAATGAACACAATGTGCCAATTGTATGCACCATTTGTTCAAGCATATCACATTTATTTGTAGACACTGTTTGACTAAAGGTCTAATGTTTACCTCCTCAAATATGTTCAAAAAGTCAATAGGGTATACTTCATTTTTCATATGATTGTACGTTTCCTAGATTGTTTTGTGACTAAATCTTATTCTTATAAATGTTTGTTTAAAGTAAAGACCATAGTTCATAACTGGCTTTCTTTTTGATGAAGAACGTTGTATCAATAAGTACCAATAAACTGGCCTGCTTTTTTTAGAATGAACTGATGGCAATGGAAGTTGGTAAATGCATGTTTTTCAACTAAACATTGATGTGTTAAAATGTGCCCCTTTTTCCCAAAATTGTGTGGATAGATGAACACATAAATGGAATCAAACCAGGAAATACTGTATATGTTTGAAAGGATGGCAAATATAGTAGCTATAGATGTCGTTATGTATCATTTTAAATCATGAGAATGCAAATAATGCTGACAAGAGGCAATATAAATGAGTTTTAAAAGAAACACCATAGAGCTTTTATGCTAGATAGGGCTTGAACTTGTAGACGCTAGGTACCTGCTGTTGGGTTGGAGAGATCACTCTCTGTGTTTGTAGTTCCTCATCATTTTCAGATACTAAATCATCCAAGAAATCCTCTCTGTCACTATCTTTCCATCTCCTGCCCATCTAGGATAATAGAAAATGAATGATGAGTCGTTGGAAAAAGTCGATAAAAAAGTTGGCAGTGTTAGGGTATTCAGAATCTTCAAAGCCCAACTTAAAGAAGAACTGTGGGCAATTTTTTTTTTAATCCTTAGTCCCACTGCAAGGATTAACTACTTGTTTTTGTCTAGGTGCTTTAAAAAAAAGTTATACTCACCAGAACCGCTGAGTTGGCTTCCTTCTTCTACGGTCACTGAAGCCTCTTTCCTCCTATGCTGCAGCATTGGAATGTTCCTCAGCATCCTCACGTCAATACACAGTGTATAGAACTTAATGATTTATGGGACCTTAGACCACTGCAGCAGAGGGAGAGATCGGTCTAAAAGCAAGCAGGCTCCGCGGTTCAGGTGAGTATAGCTTTTTTTTTTTCAACTAGACAAAAATGAGATTAACTCCTTTACAAAGACTAGAGGCCACCACCTAAAGTTGGTGGAGAAAAAATTCCAGCACAATGGGCGAAGAGGGTTCTTTACAGTAAGAGCGGTTAAGGTCTGGAACTCACTGCCATCGGCAGTGATTTCAGCCAAGAGTGTAGATTTGTTCAAGAAACGTTTGGACAATTTCTTGAGGGATCGTAATATCCAGGGATACCAGTATCCCTAAGAATGAGATGATGCGTGGACCTATATGGGTTGGACTTGATGAACGTATGTCTTTATTCAACCCCAAATACTAAGTAACTATGTAACTATGAGCAGTTAACCATTGCAGAGCAGGGGGTTAATAAAAGTTTTGCCCAGGGTTCTTCTTTAAAGCCCTGCTTGCTTTGTAGTACCATAGCAAAAGTCAGATTAAGAACAACTGCTTGGTAGATGACTAAAGTCTGTTATACTCTGCTGCTCAGATAAGACACTAAGAGGGTTATTCACTATTGAGCCAAAGGATCTAGCCGTAGCTTCGGCTGATCCTTGGGCGGGCTTCGGACGCTGGAACCGAAGCGAAGGGGATGCTGTACGGGCTATTCACAATCACCTGTACATAGCCCCAGCCGAAGCGCGGAGAATGGTCTGCTGTCACGGCTGGCTCCACCAAATTGTTGTCATTTAATGACAGCCCGGCGTCCTCGTGGACACTGGCCTGTAATTACATGACAACAACTTGGCGGAGCCGGCCGTGATGTCACAGCTGGATCCACCCAGTTGTTGTCATTTAACCCCTTCATGACTGAGGCCTTTTTTTCATTTTTTGCACCCATGTTATATTCCACATTTTAGGCCTGAAAATGACTTAAAACCCCCAAACATTATATATTTTCTGAATGCCAAGACCCTATAGAATAAAATGGTGGTAGTTGCAAATTTTTATGTTGCGCAATATTAGCGCAACTCCATATTAAACCCCAACATTTAGTGAAAAATTTAATTAAATGCCCCAAAACACAACAAAATACCAATTTTTTAAATAAAATATAAAAGATGAGATAACAACGAGTAAAACTATACCCAACATGCCCAGGTTACAGATTGCGTGCGTCCGTGAAACGGCGAAAAACTGCAGTACCCCAAAAAGTCCATAGAAGACGCTTTAAAAGCAGTTTAAACAGCCCCCATGCGGGCGACGTACACTGTACGTCGTCAGTCACGAAGGGGTTAATGAAAGACCAGCGTCCTCGGGTTATTTGAGGACATTGGATTGTTATTAAAGGACAACAACTTGGCTCCGCCCATTTGTTTTGATTAGTCTGTGACCTGCGGACAGACTGTCAGGTGCCAGACAAATGTCAACAGTTGGCGGAGCTAGTGGTGATGTCACAGCTAGCGCTGCCCAAATGTTTATATTTTGTTGGCATTGGTCAGAATGTCATTGAATAATATTTTAGAATTCCTACCAGACCTTGAGGGCCTGGTATGACTTTGAGGGAGAACACCACGCACTGTTTTTTGATTTTTAACTTGGGGTCACTCCTAACTTTCCTACCAGACCTAAAGGGTATGGTTTGGGAGGGGGACTCCACGCTATCATTTCTTTTTTTCTTTTCTTCAAATTTTTAAAATTTTAAAATGTATTTTTCTTTTTTACCTCGGAGGTAGCGAGCAGAATACCCGAGCAGAATGTTGCTTGGCGGCATTGGGATATTCATTCACTGCCATTCGGCCCCTATGAGAATTAGCGAGTGAACTGCTGGAGCTTCAGCTCAGCCAATCCAGATGTTGGATCGGCTGAGTCGAACTGCTTCTGCACTTCAGCTCAGCTGAACATGCAGAGCATTTTCAGCTGACCGAAGGCAGCCGGTGTACGGCTGATTTTAGCCGATGTGCGGCTGATATCAGCAGTACAGAGCTGTAAGTAAGTAAATAGCTGAACGCCGCTTGGCTCAGTTTAATTTGGCTTGGTTATTTACTTGGCTGCCTTTGGCAGCTTTGTGAATAACCCTCCAAATATTATTAGACTTATAGCACTCAGTGTCTGTGTTGCCCTGTACACAAAGGAATCAAAACAGGAACCACAGAGAGTGTACACAAATAATTAGGGGCACTAATGACAGGATATGATACGCACTGTAAAGTATTAGGCCATAAAGTATTTTATATCGATGCATGAATAGATAAAGATCAATGTTATAAACAAAACATAATATTTTTTCTTTTATTACATCAGGCATGGCTATTTTTTGACTAGATTATACCAAAAACAGATAACTATATAAGGTAGAACTCAATTAGAAACGTTATCTTTGTTTTGGGTAGAGTGGGGAAGGCATAAAGGGATAGAATATCTGCTAAGTTGTATTGCGGTGTCTTTGTTGGGAAGAATTTCCTTTGCTTCCTGTAGCTCAACAACAGGGACAATTTTTGTAGTGGAGTGGGGAAGGGGAAGAAATCTTTCCAACAGGAACGCAATAAACACCTTGCAGAATGTATAATACTTCTCCCAGTCTATCCAAACTTAAAGAAGAACTCCAGGATGCACATTATAGAGGGTGACCGATGGGAATCTGACATTTTTAGAACAGGTAGTACACGGTAAGTGGCGATGGGAGGGGGACGAGCTAGGTGTCCCCCCCCCCCCCCACTGGAATGCCAATTCAGTCACAATGAAGCAATGGACATTACATCGTTTGTTTGCTTACGACAGCTTTGTGGTGAGTCTATCACAGCAACACAGTGGCTATTTCGGCGAGAATTCAATGTTAAAATCAATGTTCAATGTAGGTTGACATGGAGAACAAGAAGCCACCAGGCCCCGCTCACACTACAAGGATGCCGGAAAACCATGTACGGGTGAGAGAGGCACTAGTAAGGAGCCTGGGACAGTCTGCTCGAAGACATGCAAGTGAGTTAGGGTTGAGTCGTGAATCAGTGAGAACCAAGATCACGTGCATTCGCACAGCAGTCTTTTTGTTGCGCGTAATCTCTCACATTAAGCTGTTGAATAACCTACATTTTGTATGGATAGAATCTTAAATCTCTCTGTAAAATGGTTCTCACTGATTCACGACTCAACCCTAACTCACTTGCATGTCTTTCGAGCAGAACGTCCCGGGCTCCTAAGCAGTGCCTCTCTCACCCTTGCAATGTTTTCCAGCGTCCTTGCAGTGCCGGCAGGACCTGGTGGTTTCTTGTTCATAATGTTTCTGGTTGTTCTGAAATGTTCAATCCACATGAGGACCGTGTTGCAACTGGGAATGGCCCAATGTTGACCAACATTGAATTCTCGATGAAATAGCCGCTGCTTTGCTGTGATAGACTCACCACTTCGAACAAAGCTGTTGTAAGCAAACAATGTTGTAATGTCCACTGCTTTATTGTGACTGAATTGGCATTCCAGTGCTTTATGCCTATTTAAACCCTCTCTGTTCTTATCATTGTGTCATTGCTATGCCTGATGAAGGGACCCTGTGTGGCCCCAAAAGCGCTTGTGTAACTGACATGAGTTTGCAATAAATCTACGAACTTTGATCCTATAAGGATTTGGTGTGCTCGTGACGTTTCTGCAATTATCTGTATTTGGCGGCGCCATCCACAGTCATTCCAAGCACCCCTCCCTGATCACGGGGCCATACCGGTAAGGAGTGCAACTAGCCTTTTCTTTTTTCTGAGACACCTAGCTCGTCCCCCCTCCCATCACCACTTACTGTGTACTACCTGTTCTAAAAACGTCCGACTCCCGTTGGTCACCCTGTATATTTAGGTCCCTCTCAGTCAGAGGAAGCAAACTGCTGTAAGAATTTATCATAAAAGTTCTTACTTTTCTTATAATCCTCATTTTTAGCTGCCAGTGATGTCACATCATCCTATTATTAGATCAGTCCTTCCTGCAGCCAATGGGACGATCTAGGTAACCAGTGTGTGTCATATCCTGTCATAGAGAGCTGACTACGTCTCCCATGAGGCATTGTGAAATAGAGGAAGTGGGAGGCATGTATAGGCAGAGATGATAAGAGCTACAAAATACTATATGCTCCAATGACTTTAGTTTAATTTTTTTTTTCTGAGTGCAGACACAGGGAATAGATACATTACAGGCACCTCTGCATCAATCATCCCCCTGCTTTGAAGTCATCCTATCTCCTACTAACAGTCCAGCAGGGCATCTGGCTGCAGGAAATAGTGATGTCTAGTTCAAGAACTAATCATTCTTTTGAATCAATTCTTTTCAGTGAACTGGATGAAATTATTCATCTGACTGAACTGATAACCGATTAATTTGAAAGGGTTCAGTGTTGAATCAATAGGACAGTAGCACTGGTAATATGATCATAGAGTGAGAGAGGTCGGCTTCTGCCAAACAGTACACCTGTACAACAGAGACTTAGAACTCACAACAGTAGACCAGTACCCTAAGGGCCCAGTCACACCATAAAGAGTGCGTTCGGCCTCTGGAACGCAACTCGGCTGGCTCACTTTGTTTTGGGGCGGGAGGGGGTATGGTGGTGCATTGAAGGCAATGGGACCACAGCCACAGCCTGCAGCGTGTTCCCCGGCACCCGAACGCGTGGCACATTAGTGACAGCATTCTGGTCCAGTGCGATCTGCAAAATGCACGCACTATTTTTTGCAGATCACACTGGACCGGAAAACTGAGCCGGCCGGTTGGCATTCCACTGTAACGCACTCTTTATCGTGTGACTGGGCCCTGAATCAAAGGGAGATGAAAGAGATGACACGCAGAGTCTGGATGAGAGGAGATCCTCATTTAGATTGATACTTAAACCCTTTAGGTTGAGTCAGCTCCTGAGCTTCAGTTTACTTGCTTGTCAGCAAACTCAGCAAGTGAACCAATTAAACGATTCATGTAAACTTGCCATCACTAGTGAGGAATAGCAACTGCTTTACACAGAGTTCAAGCACCGCCCAGTCTCAGGGAAGGAGGTGTGACAGAGTATGGAGCTTCTGGTCTATCAGTAACACAGTGTGGACGGAGTCAGACCAGCAGTCTAAAGGTCCCCACACACCTTGCGATAATCGTACGATAATCGCGGGAAATCCCGCGATCGTGCAATTATCGTAAGGTGTGTGGAAGGTGTTTGAAAACCCGCCGAGCATCGTTCGATGTTCGGCGGGTGTGTAGCATGTTCGTACGATAAAAGCCGGACGGGACAGTGTGCGCAAGAGCACACTGCCCATTCGGCATTGCGGTCATCGGAAGCCCGCCCCTCAGGGGGGCGCGGCTTGCGATCATCGCAAGTACGATCTGCCTGTCCAAGATAGGCAGATCGTACGTTTTTTTAAGTACCTTACAAAAGTCTTGCGATGGTTGTAAGGTGTGTGCCCAGCATAAAACTTCCCTACTCCGCCCACTGCAGTGTGTGGCAGGAATGTTAAGGAGGCAGAGGGCAGGAAGCACAGGCTTGTACCATGGATTTTTGGAAGACTATGCTATGTAGAAAAGTAAGCACATATTTTTAATACCTCCAAAAGCTAGTTACGGTAGGCTGACATTTTTTTTGCCCAGAGTTCTTTTTTTTTAAATGTCTAAAATGTCACATCAATGGTAGCACTAGGTATAACTCAATCTTTTCCAGCAATGTATGATAAGGTGACTTTTACTAGTGAGCAGATGCATTTAGAATCTTACCTCAGTCTCTGGACGAGCAACTAACAAGGAGATGTTAGTGCTCTCCTCTCGTGTCAGTATGGCTACTGCCTCTTCTTTGTTTTGGACATCCATGCCATTAATCTAAAAGAGGGAACCCAGTAGTCAATACATTTTGTAAAAAGCTATTCCTATAAAAAATCTTCGAGACAATGTATATCACTGTGTAAGCAATATAACTATTTTATTTATTGCTGTAATGTCCCAGTTTACTATATACCTCCCCTTTACCATATGGGACCAAACTTGTTTTACTATAGCTCAAACTGGCTTTTGTAAAGTGGCAAATCTGTCCACCTCTCCAGGACTGCAGTTACCGGGGTCACAGTCACAAAACCTAGGGCTTTTTTTCTGGCGGCACATGCTGGTACGCAGTACTGCCACCTTTCTTAAATTTTTTTTTCTGCCATAGATCATTACTGTTCACAATTTTTTTTTCTAAAAGCGCCCTTGCGGCAACAAGCATTATCTGGTGCTGGTCTGGCTCAGTGTCGCACATTTGCCGCATAGACACTTGCACATTATCCGTTCATCAAGTGTACAGGTAAAGCTAAAGACAAGCGTCATCAACCTGCGCAGGGTGATGTTGCTTGTCTGGCATCGTGTCCGTACACTTGCCGTATGGACACTTGTGCATTAGTGAGACAGACGACCCTTGCGCATTAGTGAGACACAAACCCCGAGTGTTTGTACAGCAAGCTGTTGACGGCACCAGGCAAGGAAGAAGAGCCCAGGGGAGGCTATATAATTTAAAAAATCATATGGCGCTTGGCGGCAAACATGGAGGAGGGACAGGGGCGGGGGGCATTTTATAAACCCGCCTAAACCATTGCACTGGCAACTTTTCCAGGCAATCAGGAGGAGCTCGAGCATGATATGATTGGCAGCAGCCAATCATAATGAAAGTGGGTTGTTACCTCTTGGTGCAATATAAAAGTCGATGTCCATCCTGTCTGATCTTTGTGAGAGGTTTGCAGGGGTGGGAGAAGCTAGCCTGAGGCACAAAAAAACCCCCAAAAACTTTACAGTTAGAATAATTGGCTATATATTATATATAGCCTAAAATGTATTGCCTTCTTTATTTTTGTCTTTATTTTTCATACTGCCAGCCACAGCTAGCTTTATAGCTGGAACTGTGTTCTGAATTGATCCAAGTCCACAGTATTCTCAGTGGATACAAGTTTACACTCTTTATGTAATTAAGCATTAAACTAGCTCTATAGCTGGTATCTTGTTCTGAATTGATCCAAGTCCTCAGTGCTCTCATTTGATTCAAGTATACAGTCTTATTTAATTAAGCATTAAACTAGCTCTATAGTTGGTTCCGTGTGCTGAATTGATCCAAGTCTACAGTCTTTTGAATTGCAATTGTTTTCAAAATGAATAAAATAAATAGTTATTGTATGCCTGCTGTGAGTAAAAAAAGGATGGCTGTAAATTAAGAAATTGCCGATTCATTCCTCTAGAACAGCAAAAAACTAACACTGAAGGTGGTGAAAAGGATCACCACACAAATACTGAAGATGCAAGTGGAAAGAGGAAGGAAAGTCTGCTGATTGGCCTGAATGTTAGACACTAGAGCAAAATGATGGGAATGAAGATTTAAGTAGAGTGGGCAAATTGTAAAATTAGCCATTTTGTAGAATCTCGCAAACAACAATTAATGTCTTTAGGAAAAAAGATTTATGATCACAAGGAAAGTGCAGCTTACAAAGCAGCTCAAAATAAAATCTCAGGCTCAAAATAAAACATTAGAGAAAGTCTTTATAAACGTTTCATCTCGTAATAAGGACGTAACTACAAATGTGTTTCAAACTGCTTACAAAGTTGTAAAAAAAAATCGTTTGACATCTTTGAAGATGAAATAAATTTATAGGAACTTAAATAGCCTAGACATGGGATGTATGCTTCACTCTGCAAATGCCTACATTAACATTCTAAACCATATTGCAAATGAAATGGAAAAAAAACATTAATAACCAACATAGTAAACTCAAAGAACAAAATGTTCTTAATTATTGATGAATCAACCACTATGAATAATAGAACAACTTTGATTGTTATCATTCCTGTAGTTCTTCCTGATCTTTCTACTCCTGTAAGGCTCTGTTCACACCTAGGCATATCGAATATGTGCGTTTGTCGCGCGTTTCATAATGCACGTTTCTTCCGCGATTCGCGGTAAAAAAAACGCACGACAGACGCGTGTTTCCGAGGGCTACTTGGCTGTATCCCAATGAAAACGCGTGACAAAAACACCGCAAAGAAGCTCATGTACCTTTTCAGGCGTAGGCTGTTTTATAGCACGTTCAGACGGGCTGAAATACAGCAAGGTGTGAACCATACCCATAGAAAACAATGGGATTTTCATGTTTGAGCGTTTTGTAGAGCGTTCGTAGAGCGTTGAACGCGCTACAAAACGTACAGGTGTGAACCAGGCCTAAATCTTTTCCTAGATTTGATTGAGTTACAAGATCTAACAGCAAAAGGAATTGTAAGCTCATTAGTCATCTTGAGCTCCTAGGAATATCTGAGGATTATTTAAAGGAGTATTTATTGTCACGTGTGAAGGTGCTGCAGTGTGGTTCGATGTACATAATGACGTTAGGAACTTAATGCAAAAATAAATTACAGGGGTTATGTTTTGGCATTGGGCTAACCATCGTATCAAATTGTCTGTCAGTGATACAGTGAACAAGGTGCCTGGAGTTAATAGTTTAAAAAATGTTATGGACAAGCTCTGTTTGACCTACCATAGTTCTCAGAAGAATGCTAGGGAATTACAGAACTGTGCAGCGGATCTAGAACTTTTAAAAATTGGAAGGATTTTAATTACTCCCTGGTTTGCTTCTAGGTTTTGCACAGTTTCTGCAGTGTGGAAAGACTATGAAGCCCTGGTTCATCATTTTCAGGAGGCAAAAGAAGACAACAGAAGAACCAAAACAGATTGCGGTCTTTATCAGGGTCTTTTAAGGAAAACAACATGAAGTTGATATGTTCTTGATTTGGGTGTTATGTGTGATGCTCTCCAAGAACTCAGTGAACTAAGTTTGGATTTACAAGAACAAAATATTGCTTAACCCCTTCATGACTGAGGCCTTTTTTTCATTTTTTTGCACTCATGTTATATTCCACATTTTAGGCCTGAAAATTATTTAAAATCCCCAAACATTATATAGGGTCTGAAAGCCAAGACCCTATAGAATAAAATGATGGCAGTTGCAAATGTTTATGTTGCACAATATTAGCGCAACTCATTATCAAACCCCCAAATTTAGTGAAAAATGCACTTAAATGTCCCAAAACACAATAAAATACCCATGTTTTAAATAAACTATAAAAGACGAGGTTATAATGAGAAAATAGATACCCAACATACCCAGGTTAAAAATTGTGTGCGTCTGAGAAACGGTGACAAAATTCAGTATCCCAAAAAGTCCATAGACAACGCTTTAAAAGCCCCCACCGGTCATCAGTTTAGAGATATGCAAAAATACTGGCCCTAGAATTATTGCTCTCACTCTGGCAAGCGCGGTGATACCCAACATGTGTAGCGCGATTGTCATTTTCATACGTAGACGCACCAGATGCATGTTTACGTGAAGGCGTGCGTGCTCGTGTGGGAGGTGGACTTAAAAAAATGTTTACAATTATTTTTACATTTATTTAATTTAATATTAATTTTAAAAACTGTTATTTTTTAACTTTACTTTAATTGCTATCACATAGTGGGGCTTACAAGCCCCCCATGTGATAGCAGATTAGTGGCGACAGGAACTCTTTAAGGTGATGCTGGGGGTCCAAAAGACCCCTAGTGTAACCTTTACACTTAAAATAAGCTACTGAAGTGCAGATTGCACTTCAATAGCTTATTGCTGGGCTTCAGGAGCCCGGCACTGACAGCTATGGGACCGGAAGTGATGCAATACGCGTCGCTCCCGGCCCCATAGAACGGGGAGGGGATTGGCGAACGGAGGTTCGCCCATCTCCTCCCCAGCTTCCCCCCTACACCAGAGAAGCCGGTCCCGGGCCCGTATGAAGGGCAACAGAGCCTGGCAAACACAGCGGGGGTGTCGGGAGGGGGGGGGGCCCGTTCAAAGGCCCGTAGAAGCGATCTGGCAGCAGCTGAGCCCCCAGAATCGCTTCTACTGTACAGTCTACTTCTACAGTCGCAATCATTTCTACTTCTACAGTCGGCTTTACAAGTTTAAACAGAGTCCTGGCAGGAAAAGCCACCGGGAGTCTGTTTAAACAGACCCGATGCCAGTGACGCACACTGTACGTCCCTGGTCATGAAGGGGTCAGTATAAAGCAGACATAAAGAGCACAAATGAACTTTTCCAAGAAAGAATTGAAAATCCTGTTCCATACTACAGCACTTCTCTTCAAAGTCTGAAGAATGTTAAGTTCAAAGGGATTGAGCTCCACAAAAATTACAAACACAGCCCTGCAATCTATTCATCTGCTTTCTACGAAAGTTTGAAAGAAACTCTTGCAAAGCGTGTGCTTACAGGAGATGATTCTGATTTGCCTGAATGTATTAAGGTTTTAGATTCTAAATATTGACCAGAAAATCCTGGAAAGCAGCTAACATTTGGTGAAACTGAAATAAGAAAGCTAACACAAAAGTTTCGCCTAAATGAAAGAGAAGCAATTTGTAGCTTCAGTGAATATCTTCTTGATGGAAAAGAAGTCCCGCACAAACTAATTCCTCTTAAGCAGACTTTAAGCACCATTGCAATATCTTCAAGTGAATGTGAACGAGGATTCTCTCAGATGAACCTTATACATCAAGGTCTTTGCTGCTTACGCAAATGACTTCTGGGTTGATGTTCATCAAGATGGCAAGAACTTCTTACTCTGTTCAACCCTACCAACTGAGAGGACATCACTCTGCAGGTGATACCAAAAGCAGAAAGCATTCTAGAGACGATCAAGGTACATCAGAGGGTATCTTAAAAGTATGGAAGTTGAATACCGCCACCTTTTTCGCTAATTCCCTTATTTATTGAGAGACAATCTAATTATGCTTATAAAATCCCTCTCAGAATTCATGACTATTTATTATACAAGCTCTTAGGGATGCACCGATACCAGATACTACTAGCGAAAATGCCTCGATACTGGCACTTTACATTTTTAAACACAAGCGGCTGCCATAAGGTCCTGTGCTTGCTGAAGACCTCATGGCAGCCTTCTGGGGACAGCGCTGGCCACACGTCATTCTCCTCCACCACCTTCGGGTGCCCGCAAAGACTACCCGAGAGCCAGCACAGACCACCTGAGAGCCTGCACAGAGCTCCTGAGGCCCCGCACAGCCCTCCACAACCCATCTGGGACCCTGGAGACATCAGGTTGCCACCCCAGAGTATGTAGCTTAATTTTATTCTGCATTGCTTTATAATGTATTGCTGAGATTTGTAGTCCTTTATAGCTGGTGGTATTCTGCATCGCTGTATAAAAGGTATTGCTGGTATTTGCAGTCCCTCTAAAGCTTGGAGTCAGTGGTAGAACTACCAGGGTCGCAGCAGTTGTAGCTGCGACTGGGCACTGGCACTCCACCACAGTCCTAAAATCATTAGTCTGTATTGTTTTACAAAAAATGTCACATGACAGTAAAAAAAAAAGGTATCAGTAATTGGTATCGGCGAGTACATGAGGTAAAGTATCGGTACTCGTACTCGGTCTGGAATTTTTTTTATTGGTGCATCCCTACTAGCTATAGTCAGTGACTTACCTGAAGAATTCTGTCTCCTTCTCTAATTCGGCCATCTCTTGCAGCAATGCTGTTTGGGTTTACCTGTTAGAAAGAATATTTTCAAAAATATAATTTAATGTTCCACAGAAGAGCAGTGGTGTCTGCTTTTTGTAAAATTACAAACTTGTTCTTATCAATCTAGTAACTAGTAGAGATACATGTGTAATGCCAACTTAAAGTTTGAACAAGCTTGGAAGTTAAAGAGACCCTGTCGCCAACTTACATCAATTACAGGTAAAAGCAAAGAAAAATCAAGTATCTTAAATGCTTACTTGCAGTATTTTTCTTTCCATAAACAATGTAATTATTAACTTGTAATGTGCCTCTGAACTTTCTAGCAAATTTGACTAGTACATTTCCAAGCATAGCCTTCTCCTCCTTGAATGTTATAGCCCCCCTCTTCTGGGAGTGTCTAATTACTGTTTGTGGTGGCAGTTCTTCTGCCCCTCCCCTCGTCCCCCTAGATAACCTTTTATGTAGTAGATGGGGGAAGAAGTAAATGGGAATACTATTGGACATGGACATGGCCCAAGCTGCTGTTCAACTTCGACCACGGTTGCCAGTGAACCTGTGTCCTCCTGTGTCATTGGTTGCTAGAACCGCGGCATTCCTAGCAACCAATGAGTATCTTTCGTCCTATGCAGCCGTCCACAGCCAGCTCTGCCTCCCCTCCCATCTCCACCTCCGGGTCTCTCTGCCCTTTCTTGCTCCACCCCCTGGCTTTGGCTCCCTGCTTTGCCTTCGGACAGGTACCTAGAATAATTAACAAAAAGTTATATAAAAGAGGTACTCTGAGGGCCCATAGGGGACAACAAGTGTAAGGCTCGGCTCAGGTGTTACGGAAAAACGCAAACAAAATTTGCATTTTGACATACGTTTGAGAAACGCGATTGTTTTGCCATTATTAGTTAATGGCCCCCCAAACGCGACAGTGAGTATGTGCGTTCCTTCTTCCTGGAACAAGAAAAACACCAAACACATGTCACAGATTTTGCTTCATGTACTACTTTTCCTGCGTTTGTTGCACGTTTAGGAACCCATTGAAATCAACATGGCAAATGCGGAGCACAAACACGCAAGAATGCTATGCTAGATGTGAATCCAGCCAAAGGGAGCACTCTGATGGGGACAACTAATTACACTGCACAACAATTTTTGTGAAAAGTTTCGCTTCCTGAAAAGTTTTTGCTGATTGTGACAGCTACCTGGTGGGTATGCACAAATATAGTTTTGGTTTGGCTGCATCACGTAGGAACTCTGAGACATAGACAGTTAACTGGCAATAACATATTTAATTGTGTTTATGTTTCTAATACGCTATTAGGTTCAACATAAATAAAGGTGCTTTGATCCTGATTTTCCTTTGTATTCAATGTCCAGTGCATCACGCTGCAGTGTCCAACAGTAGTCAGCAAGCATTGACTGATTCCAGTTGCCCTGATATTGTTTTTCCATTGTAGCAATGTCCTAGTGAAACCTTTCACATCTCCACAGATATACCAGTTGTACTTGCTGTACTGGGTGTGCTTCAGCAACATTTCCATGTTCTCGTAGGTTTCTTTCATGTGTGCTGCATAGCCAACAGGTATTGAAGGGTGAACCCTGCCATTGTCTAACAGAACAGCTTTGAAGCTTAACATTGACAAATCAATAAAGAGACGCAATCCTTCTATGTCAACACAGAAACAGAGACTGTCAACTTGTGCAAAGAATTTGGTTATATCATCTTGGCGGCTTCGAAAAACAGAAATGTTTGTGCCTGGTGACAGCAAACACCATTCCTGCAGTCTCGAATCCAGCAATTCTGCTTTTGCTTTTGACAGACCCACATATCTATCCATGTCGTTTAATTCTGACTGTGTTTTGAGTTGTGGATCGTCTGAGGAGCACGGTTTTAAAATCTGGATCAATGTCACTGCTAGTTCCTTAAATTGCAGCTTCTGCATCTGGTTCGTCTAAGATCCATTACATCGTTAGTCAGGTTGAAAAAAGACACAAGTCCACCGAGTTCAACCTATAGAGAACCACCATTCCTCTGGTGGTTTCGGAATTGGAAGACTGTCGTCATGTGGCACAGGTCTCATTGCTGAAGGCAGATTAGGGTATTCAATTGACTTCTTGTTTTTGGCAGATAAACTAGACACATTAGTCAAACAGAAGTATGGTCTTTCTGTTCTCGCCATATCATCGTGACAGCAAACGGCATTTGTCTTTCGAGTGCCTCTGAGCCAAGCTCTCAAACAGATAGCACATGTCGCACAACAAATGTGAGGCGCCAATTCCTTGTTTTGATCACCAATTTTACAGTCGAAGTTCAGATTATATGCTTTCTTCACAAGAGCAGTCATTGAGCGTCTCTGATGAACAGACATATACTCGCCACAAATATAGCAGAATGTATAGCGGCTGTTACGACATTGACGAGACATATCGAGACATATCGACCGGCACCAATCGTCCTGTAAAATGTCTAACATCTAACTTACTAGTTGCTACTGAGGCAATGCTATATTCTGAAACAATATGTACACACTATAAGGTCTATATTAATCCAATCAGCAGCATCTGTGTATGCAGGCCACTTTTATAGCCTTCTGAGACAGTGTCAAGCTGCATACTTCCACAGAACAGCTTCCAACCTGGCCTGATTTCATGCCTGGACATGCCCAGACTGCACAAAACATTGTTCATAGGTCTCTTACAGAAACTACAATTTTTGGACACAAATATAAGAAAAAACATGACAAAACTTAAGATTTCAATGAAACGGTATGTGATGGGCAAATTTGGATGTGATTTTCGTGATCAGCAGCCAAAAATCTATAAGGAACACCCAACAGTGTTCAAGAAGCAAAAACTTTGTTGTGCAGTATTATTATTTGCCCCATCAGAGGTCCCCATTACATTAGTTGTCCCCATCAAAATGCCCCCTTACTTTCACAATTATTGAAAGGGAGCACCCTGAAAGGGACAGCCAATGTAGGGGACAATTATTAGTTGCCCCCATCGGAGTGCCTTACATTATTCGCGCCATCAGAGTGCCCCCTTACCTTACGTACAAACATAAAGGCCACTCTGATGGGGACAGCCAATGTAAGGGGAAACTCTTATGGGGTATAATCAATGTAAGGGGGGCACTGTGATGGGGACAACTGATATAAGGGGGCACTGTGATGGGGACAACTGGTATAAGGGGGCACTCTAAATGGGACAACTGATGTAAGGGGCACTCTGATAGATGCTGTACTTTTATTCAGTTTAGCCAGCCACGGTGTAGTCCAACCGCATCATATTGCCCTTTGCCTATACAACTTATGCACTTGTGACATTTCAATAAAGTTCTAACAAAAAAAGTGTGATGTGCATGGATCAATGCATCAGCATTGTGCCTGGGAACACACACCAGCAGCTGTGCCTTGTCGTGTAGTTGCTGGTGTGAATGTAGCCTAAATGGCGGACCATGGTACAGACACGGATGAGTGACCATTCTGTCTGGACTGCAATTCGGAACTCTGCTCAAAGAAAATTTTGGGCACCGGATCTCCTTGAATAAGGTGTCACTTGAGTGACATCTCTGAATCTGTTGGGGCTGCTGACATCACAATCAAGCAGCGTGTCAGGACTTTTGGATGTCTACACAAGGAAAGCTTTTAATGGTAGATAACATGCCCAAAATACGTTAAATGCACCAATAGTCTTATGGGAAGTTTGCTCTTAAAATGAATGGTCTGTGACATGGTAAAGGTAAGAAGAAAGGAACCACACAGAAGTGTAAAGGTGTGCAAAAAGTGGAAGTGCTGAAGGTAATTCAGAGCTTCATACCTCTCCTACATAAATTCCCAGATCTTCTTCATCATCTGTGCGGTAACAAACCGTTAGGCCAAGCTTATCTTGATGGCTGGTTTTACATAGTTCCACTTCCTACAAAAAAAGAAAACACTAACAAAAAAATACACACAAACAGATCTAACATATATGCAAGCTTTTAGAAGAACTGCAGGCACACTAAAGGAAAAAACAATTTTCAAGCAGTGAAATAGTGACCTTATTTTTATTTTTCTGTTCAATCACGTGGTGTTGGTGTAGGTTCGTAGCCATAACAACTAGCCTCAGGTCTTTTGGCACATGCTTTCATTTTCCAGTATGTTGGTGCTGCCAAAAGAGACTGGTAGAAGGCCCAGGAAGTCTGCATTGGTGTGAGTAACCCGAATTTGCCAATTGTTCCTACCTAGTGGTGTAGTAAGTAAGGAGTAAGACTATATTAGACAGCAGGGACATAACTGAAAGGATGAGAAGCACGTTCTGTGACTGTATTACATTATACTATACGATGTACATTGTTTATCAGGTTATTTATATATTATGGCGGGAATTTTTTCACAAATTGGTGTCTTTCTATTTAAGAGGGATTACATTACAGCATGTTCGTCATACAGAGCCTGATGAAGGGAACCCTATGTGGCCCCCCAAACGAAACATTGCTTTATCTGTGACAATATGCATCAATATTAGTTTGGACACATCTCTCTAGTTTGGACACATTTCTATGGTGTGCTGGAGACATGTTGTTCTTCTGATCTGCGTGGTGTCATCTGTGGCCACTTCAGCACCCATCTTCCAAGGGGTTTCCAGTAACAAGTGCGGCAGGACACCTATTGCGCTTTGATATTGGCTTAGCTTGCCATGCACCCCTTGCAAGAATAGATCCCCTCCCAGAAAAAAGGGTGTACAATACCAATTTGGATTGACATCTACGCAACTAACCAGTGGGCCTGTGGATTGTAAAGACAATTGATACATATGGAGAACAATTGTGCATCCAATATAAAGAGACAGCAGCCTACCGGTAGCACATACAATTCTGATGAGATTGAGGCAATTTTATCTCTCTCTGATACAACAAAAGCCTTCCGCAAAGACACTACGGCTGATCTGTATAAGGAAATCAAACGTTTAAGAAAGAAAAAGGTTGATCTGGAATTACATACTTAAACTCTCTCTGAATATTACAGAGCAAGGAAAATGCCAAGGGGCTTCAGGATTACCAATCAATCCACTATTGGTAGACATAAGCGTGCGTTCTGTGAACGCTGGTGCGAAGTTGCAACCCATAATTGGAATTTTATGCAAATTGTTATTGGGGAAAAAAAGATTTAACTCTGCCAGGTGAACAAAGAAATTGCTACCCTCAAAGTAACCCTCCAGGAGAAATGCACTGATAAAGAGCCACTATCAGGTGATCTAAAAAGGTTTGATACTGATCTGTCATCATATGCTGACAAAGACAAGTCAAGAGAGATAAGTTTCGCCAGGTCAATCTTGACTATCAGGAGGGTCGTGTTTATCCCTGGCAACACATGATGACACTTTAAAAACCCAACCAGGAGTGCTCCACAACAATGCAGCTGCACAGGGGTGTCTTCCTCAGGAAGTAACCACCCCACCAGGGGTGGACTCACAACACATAGGGCCAAAGGGCAATACAATATTATGGGGCCCCCTTGTGCTCCACCCACTTACAAGCCCCATCTGCATAAACATTCTCGTGTCAAAGAAATTATTTCTCTTCACTATTTTTAAAATAGTGGGCCAATTCACTAAAAGATGAATTGCCGGGGAACTGGTAGGAGAATTTCAAAATCTAGACCAATATAGGCAATTTGGAAAGTGAGCTAAATGGCAGAATGCACAGCAGACCTCAGACCAGCACCAATGCATGGCAGTCCCCACACCAGAACCAATGCACAGCAGATCTCAATCCAGAACCAATGCACAGCAGATCTCAATCCAGAACCAATACACGGCAGACCTCAGACCAGCACCAATACACAGCAGAATTCAGACCAGATCCAATGTATGGCAGACTGGGCAGTTAGAATGACACATACACAAATTACATCTCAGGGATCAGCCATCACACACAGTCTGATCCCGTGGGACGTCACCCACACACACGTGTTAATGGGTAGATCCAACCCTCCTTCCTCCCAGGGGAAGATGCAGAGGGTCTCAGCAGTGGCAGATGTGGGTGTTCTCAGCAGGGCAGATAAGGAGGGTTTCACTCTCAACAGGGCAGATGTGGAGGATCTCAGCAGGGGCAGATAAGGAGGGTCTCACTACTAGCAGATGCAGAGGATCTCAGCAAGGGCAGATGCAGAGGTTCTCCCTAGCGGCAGATGCAGAGGATCTCAACAGTGCCAGATGTGGAGGGTATCACCAGGGACAGATAAGGAGGGTCTCACCAGGGGCAGATAAGGAGGGTCTCACCAGGGGCAGATAAGGAGGGTCTCACCAGGGGCAGATAACGAGAGTCTCACCAGGGGCAGATAAGGACTGCTCTCGGGCTGTACACAACCACCACACAGCGTAACAAAGCCCCCCTCCTCCCCCGCTATCTCAGTGCTCTTTTTCGCCCATGCCACAGCCAAATTAGTAGATGCAGCTGTGTTAAAGCGGCGACGGCAGTGTCTGGTGGTCTGGAGGTGGGGGACAATTCTGTTCACAGCTGCATCTACTAGTTTGCCTGCGGTGCGGCCAAAAACAGCAAGGAGATGGAGCACACTGCCGACTCTCCTTATATGCGGGCATGAAAGGGCAGCAGTGGGGGTCGGTGATGGGTCCCCTGATGGTTGTGCCCCACTGCCCGAATGGTCAGTTCGCCCCTGCAACCCACTGAAAATTTTTCCTCTGAGAGCAACACAGGTTATCCAAAGAGCCTGTTTACACAGGCCAAGGATTCCAGTTTTCCTTTTCCAGGGCTCCAGGACGCAGACGACCTCGGCGAGGGCGCAAAGACAAGGGGCATCACGACACGATAGCACAGCAACAGAGGATGATCACCCAGGAATCAATTTCGCCTCCAGACCTGTCAATGAGGTTGAGTGCTGTCTCTTGTCTAAAAGGCTTTCTTTTTGTCCATCCGACCACTTTGACACATTTCAAAATATACCAGTATGAACAAGGAGGATATTATTGATCTTACTTTTCTGAAGGATGACACCTCCATCATTATAAAACTGGCTGACAAAGTGTGATTGTAATCATGGATTACAGGGAGTACAGAAGGGGCATGTTAGCCCAATTGTCCGATACATGCCTTCCACATGTGAGAAAATGCACAATATAGGGACTGAGTTGCTTTCCATTATCACTATGACCAAAATGAGTGGCTGGATTAGCGAGGAAACAGCTGACTTTTTGCATAATAACATGCTCGCACCCCAGTCATATATGGTCTGCCAAAATTCACAAGCGTATTAGTCCTCTGTTGTTTTACCCTATTGTTTCTGGATCTGACTCTATTGGCACAATTTATTGTTGAATCAACCTATGGCACAAATTATTGATTTCTTCTTGCAACCTCTAATACAGAACATACTGGCTTATATCAAAGACACAGATGATTTTTTACAGAAATTACGGACACACAAAATCTTTAATGATAATTGGAAACTTACATTCATGGATATTTCCTCTCTTTATACCTGCATGCCTTGCATTGTCACTGCAGGGCTCAAAGCTGCTGATCATTTTCTCTCACACAGAGAAACGTATTATGTCCCTAATTACTTTATTCTATGCTGTCTTGAATTTGTGCTGGAAAACAATACGTTTACATTTGAAGATTCTGTGCACAAACAAATTTGAGGAACTGCTATGGGCAGTCAGGCCGCGTCCTCTTTCCCTAATCTGTTTGTATGTTATTTAGAAGAATGCCACATGTACAAATCCACGCTCTTTGCGGCGCATATGAAGGTATGGATGAGGTACATAGATGACACGTTCATCATATGGGACGACTGTACACATGCGTTCAATTAATTTGTTGCTCATTTGAGCAGCATATTTACCGGTATTTTGTTCAAACTGATATTGTCTGTGCATGAAATTGATTTTCTGGATGTGCTTATTACTGTGCATAATCATACAATATCTACATCTATTTATAACAAATTAACAGATAGAAATACACTTTGCGTTATCAATGTGCACACCCTCCACACTTACTCAACAACCATCCCATCTCACAGTTTTTGAGAGTTATGCACATGTTTTGATACCAACATCTGCACACAACATGTACAAGAAATTCATACATAGGGGTTTACATGGCAAGTGTGATTTGACCTTGCATTTCATGGGCCATACAGAGAATGGATGGGCTTATCACTGACCGTAAGACTGCAGACATAATTCCTTTCCTACAGACTTACACCACAGCCTCCATAGGCATTCAAAATGCCCCACTGAAGAATTTGAATATTCTTCAGGTTAATAAGAACTTGTCACCTAGGGTGAAAGACAGACTATTAGATGTATATAAACAGAACAAAACACTGAGAAGGTTATTCATAAAGGAGCCGAAGGATTAAGCCGAAGCATCTTCGACCGTCGGAGACCTCCGGTTCAGCCGAAACGAAGGACTGCTGTACGGGCTATTCACAATAGCCCGTACAGCAGGCAAACGGCTCAGCCGAGCCGAAGCTGAAGCAAACCGTTCTCCCCGCAAATGTAAATTGGGCGGAGCCAGCCATAATGTCATAGCTGCCGCCGCCCAGTTGTGGCTATTCAATGTAGCCCAGCGTCCTCAAATGATCTGAGGACACTCCTACCAGACCTAAAGAGCCTGGTGTGACTTTGAGGGGGGAACACCACACACACATTTATTTTAAATTGGAGTCCCTCCGAGCATTCCTACCAGACCTAAAGGTTTTTTTAAATTTTTCTTTCTTTTACATTTTTTTATTTATTTTTTAAACATTTTTTAAATAATATTTTATAATTTTCTTTCTTTTCTTTCAATTTTTCTTTATTCTACTGGCTACCTCGGAGGTAGCGAGCAGAATAACCGAGCCAAATGCCGCTCAGCGGCATTCGGCTATTCACTCACTGCTATTCGGCCCCTTTGAGAATAGGGGCAAGCGGCAGCGAGGAAACTGCCAGAGGTTCGGCTTCCTCGCTTCGGCTCAGCATGTTCAGCTGACCAAAGTTAGCCTGCCGATGTATGGCTGAAATCAGCCGTTCAGGGCCGAAGTGAATAGCCATGCGGCTCAGTTCACTTCGACTCAGTTATTTACTCAGTTAATAACCCCCTAAGTAACCATTTTGGGCAGGTGGACCCCAGATCTAAGTATGCTAAAACACCGTTTTTACTTTCACACAAGACTGGGTGTTATAGATGCTACCAGTTCAACGTATGTGATGCGATGATATGTGCTGATCATTTTACCCATCTGCACAATGGCAAGTACAAGATGCATGGTTTTATCCAACTGTGACACTGAATTTTGTGTATATATACTGAAATGCCCCTGCACACTCATGTATGTAGGCAAAACTGTGCGACCTTTAAAATGTCACTTTCAAAAGCACTGCAGCAATATTTGCATAGCCATTAACAAGACTGCTAAGGGGGAGGAGATTGATCTGAATAAGCCTGTTGCTGTTCACTTTGCTACTAATTGCTACTAATAATAAACACCATGACCCGATGTTCGCATGCACCCTATAGGAGGTGAAAGGGCTAAACAGCTCCTGCGTAGAGAATCCTTCTGGATATACACCTTGTATATGGTTCATACGAGGGGCCGAAACAAAAAACTTGGACTTACCTGTTTCCTTGAAGAGAGGTGATCATGGTACATTCGCCCTTTTCTCCTATATGTGTCATGTAGCCTTTCATATACCTCATAACTATGGATGCGCCAATACTATTTTTTTAAGACCAGGTACAAGTACTGTTTGCCCGGAATGGGCACAAAAGTAAATGCGTGATTTTCTGGGAAGTTGCTGCGAGTTCTGATAGTGGTTGTAGCCACAAACGCGTAGAAAAACGTGCTACTATTTAAATAAATTTTTGTTTGCTCGTAAGAACATGCAGAAAAATGCACAGATGCACTTGCCTGGATCCCCCCTGCCTCTGAAGCTCTAACTACTTCTTTTCCTATATGGACTCTGCATGCTCTGCGCTTGTGGGATCGGTGGGTTTCCACCTGTGGGATTTCATCCTACATTGGGCCTATGACCTTGTTCTTTAACAACCCTGCTTTCCCTCCAGCACTACGTAGATCCTCCTTTGGAAGGTGAACCAGAGACTTCCACAGGCGCTTGGTGGAGGCCATTCGGAATCCACGGTGGATCTCTCTGTCAATGTTATGTGGTTGGTTGACAGACAGTTTTGTTCCTGTGTCTCAACTTGAGGTTTTGGAAGCAGAACCTACCGGCCTTTCACTCTCTTCTCTAGCGGTCCTCTCCCCCCCACCCGTACTTGTTACTTTACTCTTTTCTCTCTTCCTCCCCCTCCCCCTCCCTGGAACTTCCTGGGTACGCTTCGGTCTGTGAACGGGAATTGGGCCTCCCCATTAGCATGGTGGACTGGGAGAAATCTTTTGTTCTCTCTCATTCTCTCTCTATCTCCAGTAAGGCCCACAAGAAAAATCTGAAGATCCTGACCACAGGGTACAGATGCTCGTCTATACTCCACCGGTTCTATCCGCAGGTTCCGGACTCCTGCTGGCGTTGTCAGGCCTCCCTAGGCCATATGACTCACATTTGGTGGAGCTGTCCTCCTATTAAAGAGTTTTGGCTGAAAGTATTAGATGTCCATCGCCGAGTGACAGGTTCTGTGATTTCTAATGACCCTAAGAGTACACTGTTGACTATGGTACCAGGTTCTCTAAAACCAGTGAAAAGGGGCCTCCTGAGGCACTTTCTTACGGCTGTGAGGGCAGTCATTCCCTCACAGGACTGCACAGTCCCTACTATTATAATTACAGTACAGTTATACTACCAACAAGTATTACCGTGACAGCTACAGTACCCACACTGATTACCTTGCATCTACAATTCCCACCCTGGTCACAATACAGCTACAATACCCTAACCTATTACATACAGCTATAATACCCTCATGTATTATATTATTGCCAAAATCCCCACATTTGTTACAGTACCTCTATAATACCTGCATCTATTATTATAGCACAGCTACAATACTTGCAATTATTACAGCACTGTTACAATACTGGCAATTAATACAATACCTACCGCTAGCAACAGTTATTACAGCACAGCTACTACAGCACAGCCATTACAGCACCTGCTTGGCTTTATTGTAATATGAATACATGTCTTAACACAAAAGTTTGTTTAGCCCATGCAGAACCAAACAGGGACAGACTCACTACTCCCCAAGTGGGTAAGCCCCATAGGCCTATTACATACATACACTTATATTGCTTATCTGCTTGGGGGTACGGGCAGTGGTGTATTTTGGTTTTGTGCTGCCCTAGGCAAGACTAAACTTGGGCACCCCCTCAATCTAAATTTGCCCCTCCCCTTCCTGTTTAGGACATTTTGCACAACCTGTCAGTCACTAGATGCAGCACACACGGGGCCTCAGGAGAGCTGTGCGGAGTTTCTGGTGGGCTGTGTGGGGTCTGTGGTGGGCTGTGAGGGGTCTATGGTGGGCTGTGCAGCATTTATGGTGGGCTGTGCGGGGTCTATGGTGGGCTGTGTGGGGGT